CACACACACACACACCCACACCCACCCACACGCACACGCGCGCACACGCACCCGCACCCGCACTCGCACCCGCACCCGCACCCGCACCCGCACCCGCACCCGCACCCGCACCCGCACCCGCACACGCACACGCACACGCACACGCACACGCACACGCACACGCACACGCACACGCATACGCACACGCACACGCACACGCACACGCACCCACGCACACACACACACACACACACACACTGTGACACCAGGTGGCACCCTACAAACGAGTATTGCGCAGAACTCAACATTAAAAATCATTACCATTGAGGATTCCTTCGCTTCCTCAACGGTTTGCTGTGTTGTTCCCTTGTATGTTTGCGAGGGCGACTTGGAAGACCCGAGACGCTCGCCAGCCATGGACTTGAAGATGTCCATCAACAGCTTGGAGGAGTCCTTGAAGGCGAGGGTTCAAGTTTAGGGTTTAGTGTTCAGGGTTAGCAAGAAGCATGCCCTCTTTGCAGTTTGAGCTGCTGAGGCCAGGAACGAGAGTAGTGGCGCAGTGACTAACTGTCGTTTCGAAGTTCTATATCATCGCCAAATACCGGAAAGCGGAATCCGTCCAGGCTGCTAGCTGCGATGTCAAGACGACCGCAGCATCAGCCTTCCCTTCGCTTTCGCAGGACCGGGAGGGAGCTGCCCATAGCGGCGAGAGACCTCTCCTAGCTCTCCACAACCTCCGCGTCACCACGAGAAACGGGGCGCATGACTTCCTGTGTGCAATACGCGACGAAAGATCCAGAAGTAAATGCAGCTGACTTGACGAGCATAAGACTTACTGCTACTGCTATGTAATACAGATTCTCAGAAGGGTGCTTCAGCGCAATCCAGACACAGAAAGCAACAGTCCAGGGAAGCACCTCACATGGGGGACGTACAGACACAGGGACGCACCAGTTGGAGCATGGCATGTCAAGCGTCAGCTGCTCGAGAGAGAGAAAAAACTCTCGCCAGTCCAGGTCTACCGTTTATCCACATGCTAGATTGCTTGAACTGCCCACTCATGCTTTTCCAGAAAAGCCTACCCTTTCTAGCCTCACCTTGTCCTCTGTCGTATGTCATTCATTCCGCCTCATCGCTTGGCGAGGAGCTGCCATGCTTGAAGAGCCAGGGATCAATTGTCACAACGCCAGCAGATTCAGAGACGGGGCCTCATTTCCTTCAGCTCTCAGCCGTGATCTCCCCTTTACGCGTCCGAGTGCCCGGTGCACCCTGTTTGTGGTGCACCCGGTGGCCTGAGGTTCCATTTGTTCGGACCCGGGTTCACTGCTGATGCGTTTCGCGTGGCAGAAGAGATGGCTGGGCAGCCGTTGCCAGTCGGCCTCCGAGGGTACGCGGACGCATGAAACAGGCTGCCGCATCTCTTGAATGCTCCTATCCAGATGTAGAGCAGGTCAAGTTCATGCAAGACTCAGGCCGATCTGCTCTCTCCCCCAGATTTGGCGGAAGTTGGCCCACATGATGTACAGAATCCTGCCGACCTCGTACAGCTGAGCGACTCTCAGCAGTGCGCCGTATTTCCAGCGCTGTGCTTCATGGCATCGCGAATTTTCGGATGTCAGGCTCGGGAGAGCCTGCTCATCGTGTCTCAAGCTGTCTCGGAGCTCAGCTTCGAAGAGCATGCAGAGCTGCCCCTCGTCTTTGCACTTCTTCATCTCAGGTTGAATCAACAGCGCTTGCTCACAAGCACGGGCCCAATCGTTGCCCACCGCTTTCAGCTCATCGCGATTCTCACATTGACCTGGTGCAAGCAGAAATTGTCCTGCGTGATGCTGAGGCGCGCACCATCTCTGTTTTTCCCTAGCGGCTCGCGTGCTGCTATCACTGCCGATGGATCCTTCATGGCGAGCCGAGCCTGTCGGAGCCTGCAGCTTCAGTAATACGCCCACACATGAAGGTACAAGCGCCCGGACTTCAACTGGACCTTGGAAACCCAGAACTTCATCCTCGAACGTCGTGGCCTTTTCAGTGGAATGTCGCCCGGGACCGAACAAGCTGAGAGCAGAGTTGGACGTAGTCATAGCCAGGTCTTCATCTGCTCATCCGCCAATTGGCGATGGCAGCCCTGGCTCTGGGACCAGCTGGCCGATGCCTCGATCAGGTCTAGTCATCCCGAGGCTTTTTGCTGAGCCCTTTAAGCCCTATCTATCTATTTATATATATATATATATATATAGAGGTGTGTGTATATATATATATATAGAGTAAAGGCCCAAAACGGCCTAAGAAAGGCCCCAGGAAGGCTCTTCATGTTTTGGGCCCCCCGAGGCGACGCGGGACCTCGGGCGGTTGCCGCTATGGCCGCTGCTGTTGCTTTCGACGCGGTCGCCCGACAATCCACGGAGAACGTCGCCTCTGTGCTCTCACAGGCGGTATCCAGTCATGTTGGCAGAGACTGGAGACTAGGAGCACTGAAATCCTGAAAGTCGGTCCGTGCTCGCTGGGCCTTCGTCGGTGCTCGTGTTTCGGAGCCGCAGGCTTTGGGCCAGGGACTTTGCCTTGGGCCAGGGTCTTTTGTGAGCGAGTCCTCCGAGCAGGCTCTGAACCTGCCCGTATCTGCCCGTCCCATCTCGATGGGACACCAAACCGTAGCCCTTCTCAGGCAATCTCCTGGCCCCGAGCAGCAAAGGCCCGGAGCGAGATTCTGGAATACTTCGAGGCTCGCCGCTCCTCCAGCATGCAGTCTCCTCCGTTTTTTTGCGTTGCATCGGAGGCGGCATCGATCGCCGGGCATCAACCTGTGTTCCAGGGAGTCGAGGCTCGAGGTCTCTGAGGTTCGGAGTTGCGCCTTCTCCTCGAACTTGAATCCACGGCCAGGTCGGACAGGCTGAATTGCAGTTGCTCAATGGCTGCTCTTTGTTGCTAGGCGGGAGTCGGGAGCTAGGCACGCTAAGCCGCTAAGCCTTGTCGGTCCACTGTGGACAGGTCTCGGTCCCGTTCGTTCCACTGCGGTGCAGCTCCTTTCGGGCGAGGACAACTCATGACAGGGCTTGAAGGATGCCCCTGAGCAGATGGCACAGGATCCATCCCTCATGGCGCAACTGCCAGAATCTCATCGCAAGATGTTGCATGGAAGTCTGGCTCAATGGCTGAATGCTGCCCTGGCGAGGCCGCAACTTGGCATGATGCGCGATGTGGGATTCCTGGCCCAGTGCTTCAGCTCAGAGCGTTCAAGAAAGCCGTCACAGCGAAGGGAATCCTCTGATGCGTTCGATTCGCAAGGCTCCTGTCCAGAAGCGGCGCTTTACCCTTGACAACGCAGGTGCCTCGGGCTTGCCTCAAGGCCTTATCCAAAGCACCTAGCCGCTAAGCCATCTCCAGCCGATGCAGCGATCTGCTTCGGAATCAGGCCCAGGAGTGGCAACCAGAATGTGCTCGGAAACTTGTCCGAGACTTAGTGGCTTAGTGGCTTCGGTCTCCAGCGAGCCCTGCGCAGAGAGCGTTTTGAGGAGCTGGCGCAGCCAGGAGGGGAGCACGTCTCTGACTGCTCGGCCCTTACGCGCGAAGAGGACTTGTTGCTCGCCTTGCATCATGTGTTAGGTGCGGGGTCTGGCGCAGGGCCCGACAACTGCCCTGTCCCCGGATGCAGAGAACACCTGAACACAGTGCTGCCAGATCACTGGTCTCACTCCATGTTGAAGTGTCATCATGACAGTCATTCCCTCTGCAACGTTTGCATATGATCTCCAAGCAGCCGTGACAGCAGAAGGAGTGCTGAGAGGCCTTGACATCAGAATGGGGTTTCGGGCCTTGGGGTATACTATAGTAAAACCATAAGCCGACTGACGACTGCTGAGGTCTTGGAGGCGTTGCTGCCAGTGGGGGCGGCCAGTTCTAAGGAGCAATCGCTGGCGATGTAAACATGCACATGAAAACAGAAGCATATTTACAGACTCAGACATACATTCAATCATGGATGCATGGATGTGCGATCTTCGAAGATCCAGGACAAGCAATCGGGCGTGCTGGCCAGAATGAAGAAGGGCCTGCTTGGCCTGACGGGTGCGGAGCGGTCCGCATCTTGGAGCGACAATTGGATGAGTCGTCCTTGGAGGATCATGGGACTTAGTAACTAGGGCTATAAATATGGTAACTATAATTATAACCCCAATTAGGGTACTTATAACTTTACTTACTAAGTCCCATGATCCTCTAAGTCAGGCAGGTGGCCTTGCAGCCCCTCAGACTGCACAGCTGCGGACACCCTGCGTGTGCCTCCTAAGCCGTGATAAAGTTGACAAGCTCACAAGGCGAAGTGCAGCCGCGTCGCAGGCAGGTTCGGCAATTGAGCCACTCTGTGATTTTCTGGAGTGGACAGTAAAAATTTGTCGTAACGACGACGACTCCTAAGATGCAAAGAAGCTGCCAGGCAGATCCCGGTGCACTGGTTGGTGAGAAGCTGCGGAGTGAAGAGGACGATGCTTTCTGTTTGCTCCCGACCTGAGTCCTGGCCCGTACTGCAAGGATGTCCTCTTCCTTCCATCATCGAAGCTTCGAGCTTTTGAAGGCTTGTCACCTTCCGCCAGAAGCCAAGAGGAGAACGAGCGACACACCGCACCAAGAACCACCGTTCAAGCTGCGTTCGCCTAGAGGAAGCGGAGGTCGTACTGACAATGTTGCCATGAGCTCAGTTGTTCCTCGCATCCTTGGAATGCAGTCTAAGAGTGTGTGCAACCGCATCTCCACGGCTCAAGGCTTGCTCCCTACCTTCGAATACCGCTCCTGTTGGGCTACCTGGGCACATCCGAGCGCGTCGGCGCGTTGGCCGACGAGCGCCTACAGGCACGGCAAGGAAACCCGATATCTTCTCCGTGCAGCATCCACAGTGCAGATCCGAAGGGCCTAGGAACCTGGTAGCTGGAGCGCATGTCATGATCACAAGGAAGTCGACACCCTCACCTGCAAAAACAAGCAAAGCGCTTGAGTCTTCTGCTGCAGGGCGTCCTGGAGGCGGCGGTCTTCGAACCGGGCCCCTGGCGGTCCTCCACGCGGCCTCCGGAGATCCCTGAGGCAAGCAGCGGGAAGGATCCACGCGGAGTAGCACTGTAAGAGAAATCCAGACGACTTTGCGGAGCATCGACACAGCTGTTCAGTTTTATGTTGATGGCTTGATGGCGCTTGACCACGCCCTTTGTGCCTGTCTTCGATTTCCTTCGAAACACACCCCACAAGTGACAAGTGCTTCATCGGTTTTAGGGACGAACACTTCCAAGGCATCACCGGACGACAAGAACTCATAGTCTGCTCGGTCGAAGCTGAGTTACAGTAATTTCAGTATAGCACAGATGGTCCAGGCTGCAGTCTAAAGGAGGAAGGTCGCAAGCTTCCATAATCTATCAAGCCTGTCTGGCAGGCAATTCCGGCGCGGCACCCATCTTTTGCTTGGGCAGAGCATGAGTCTAGGGGTTAAGTCTGTTGCCCTTCCAGACAGGCTCCAACCCGTTCCCATTTGGCCACTCCATGTGGCCTTTTGATCAACGAGCCTTGTCCTCGGGCCACCTTCAGCAAGCTTTCGTGCACCAAGTCTGTTTCATTCACCATTGCTAAGACGAGTGCAGGCTGTGCAACGCACCACGCCCGACGTTGTCCATGTCCCAGACATGCACAGGCACAGGCTTCGGAAAGCCGAAAACAGCCCTGCTGGCATAAGACCGGCACCATGACCGTGGGTTCTCACAACATTCCCCCACCTTGTCATACTTGTCCTCTGTCCAAGGGCCGGGGCTGCAGCCCTGCTCCAAAGTGCCCTCGAGCGTGACACGGGCAGGGCTCCTCGAGCTCGTTTTGTCCGCAGATCGTCGCGGGTCCGAAGGTCCAAGATTGCACATCATCGATTCTGGGCCAGGCTGCAGCGGCTCCCATTGGCCTTATCCTCTTTGCACGACCCTAAGGAGCTTTCACAGGCAAGAGTGACTTGAGCCTCCTGTTAAGTAAGGCGATTCGGATGGGCTGCAGAATCTTCTCTTTCGTGCCAGCCTCAACTGAGCAGCGCGCGCTCAGCACGCGCTTTCTCGTGGCCTTGCGTTCCGTCCTCAGCCACGTCCGCATCAGTCGGATTCAGGCGAAGGCGCTTTTGGAGTGCGGGGCTTGGGTAATGAGCGGCCTTGCAGATCCTCCTCGTGACCTAGACCTAGACTGCATGCAATACGGTCTCAGCTCGACAGCCTTACGGCTTCCAGAAAGTAAGCCTGCGTGCTATGCTTGTTGCAGCCTGTCCCGCAGATGCCAGACTGCAGAAACCTCTGCCAGATGTGACACTTCACGGAATCATCATGGAATCATAGATCACAATACATTCTACCCTGGAAGATCAGGTCCGAAGGTGCGGGCTCTGTGGCAGTCGCGATAGCACTTGGTGCGGGTCGGCCGTCAGTGGAGGCAGGGCAAAGCTGAAGACTGTGAAGACAGATGCCATGAACAAAGCACTTCTAATCCGAGAGGCTGCCGTGGATCCACTCAAGAAGCAGCTGCTAGCCTCCAGGTGGGAGTACACCCCGTTTTTTCGAAGATGGCTTGTGTCGGGTTTGTTTTACCGTGTGAGGAAAGTCCTACAGCGATGGGCGACTGAAGCGGCGGAGCATGGCAAGGCCGCTTCGATTGCCAGTCGGATGTAGCGGAACTGGGTGCCTTGGAGGCTGCGCTGGCCTGTGCCGTTTGGTCTCATCTCGCCATGCTTCAGCTCTGGCCTGAGATCTGCAAAGCCCAGCCCGAAGCCCTTTTAGTGGACGCCATCAGCCTTCTAATCCTAGCCATCGGCAAAAAGCTCGGGTCTGACGAGGTCCTGCCTTGGCTGGGGCGAGGCGTGGATTATATTTCCTTCGTTTGGACTCCGGACGAAAGAAGCTGAAAACTTACCATCGAGGCCGAAGCTCCGGTGGCA